AAAAAAAAAAAAAAAAAAAAAAAAAAAAAAAAAAAAAAAAAATTGATTAAAAATAATTAAAAAAAAAAAAACTTTTATTAGTCAAAATATGATGGGTATGGCCACCCAGCCAAAAGAGAGAACTCGCTTAATACATATGTGCTCTCACACACATACACACAAACACATACTTCTTAGCATTCTGTTATTTCATTCTACGTGGAAGCAGCAGGATGTGGATGCAGATGGATTTTTCATGTATTTCTCTTGGCATTATAGCCATATTTAATGTCACATCCAGTAAAGCAGAAATTTTAATTAAGTTTATGGCCTGACCATCTGTATTTGTTTGGAATTTCTGCCTCTTCAAAGCAAAATGTAAACCTGGCTTTAGACCTGGAAATATCTGAGGCTGCAACCAAAAGAATTAATCAACAAACTGCAAATGTCTGGTCTGAAAATATAAAATAAGTTTAGAAGAGGTTGAAACCTATTATCCAAATATCACAAAATACCTGGATATGAATTATGTAGTCACTAACTTATTTGGATATGCTTCAGGGAAGATGAAAGGAAATTTTTATATATTTTCAAGGGAAGAAAAAACTATCTCAGCATCAATAAACTGCCAGAGAGTCGTCTAAGTGCATTTTATTTATGTCTCTGGGTTTTGATGTTGTTTTTCTTTTAATCTTAAGTTCTCGCATTTTGTAAATGAATAAAGCCCATGCACAATTCATATTTAAATGTTTTAGTTAATCATGGAGGTTTCTTTTCTTTAAAAGAGTGAAAACTCACTAATGTATATCAAACAAGAATAGTGAATGTGGCCAATATAAATTAGTAAGAAGCATTTGCATGAACTTGGAAGCAATGACAAAACACTTAAAATACTCTCTATTGTATAGTATAGGCATAACTTGGACCTGCAGCCTCTTGTCTGCCTTTGAGCGGATGAATTAAGCTGCTCATAGTTCAACTTTGTATTCTCTGTGAAATGCTTGTTACCCAAATTAAAGGTGCAAATAGATGCCCAATTTGAAATGGAAAATCTGAATGGAAACCCTAAAACAGCATTGCTCAGCTCCCTACTAAAATACATAGGATGGCAAAAATTCACAGTGCTGAAAACAGTCTCCTCGCTGCCAGAATCTGGTAGACCTTCTCAATTCTTGTCTCCAGAAAAAGAAACTGTCTACCTGGGTAAAAACGCCTTTATCTTTTTACCACCGCCATCTTGCCCCATGAATTCAAGCTAAAAGACCAGTACAAGTCTTAGGCCAGGGAGAAAAACAGAAACTCTGTCCTCTTATAGGACTGCTGCTTTGTGAGGTAGTCAGGGCCCTGTGTCTCCCACTAAACTCTCCCATTTCCAAACTAACTTTCTTCTCCCAACCTTGTCCATTATATATACTCACAAATTTACTCATGACACTGTGTGCCATGCCAGAAGCTATTCTAGAAGCTAGGAAGACAGCAATAAACAACAACAGCAACAACATAGACTGCTTTTGTGAAGCTTGTCCTCCAGCAGGGCACAAAGCAATAGATGTTCTGTTCAGACTCATGCTCTGAGAAAACAGCTCAGCAGGAGGTAAGAGTGAGATGGGAGTAGAACATTGCACATGGGGAGATGTGGTCTCCACCAGAAAGTGCTGTAGTGGGAACACGAAAATCCCATTTTTATGTGGTCCATCCGTTCAGAGTGATAAACCCCAGGAACTGGGTCTCATTTAATACAGTCCAGCAAAGCAGAACTAGATTAAAAGCCTGCTAGACAACAGGGAGATAAACCTGTTCTATGTCAGGTAAGATAAACCACAGTTAGAGTAAGGGGGACAGGGAATGCAGGGGTAGGGGGTGGGAGTGGGGACAGGGTAGTCAAGGAAGGCCTCCTAGAGGAGGTGACATGTGAGCAGAACCCTGATGGAAGAGAGGAAGTGAGCCACGTGGATGTGTGGGGAAGAGCTGCCCAAACCTGTGCATGGGCGTCAGCCTCCACTCGGTGGCCTCTGCTCCTGTTGGTTTGCTCCGTCAAGGCCAGCTGTTTCTGCCAACAGCATCTCCACAGCATATCTTCCTGCTTCTGTACTCCAGAATCTTCTTTAATACTAACCTCCCCAATCCCTGGCAACAGACTTTACGGCTTACCTTCATGGTAGAAAGGCTGCAAGAGAAAGGAAAAAAAAACCTGGATTACACAGAAAGTAAGGATAGCTGAGGGGTTTACAAAAGTAGTATCCACATTATACCTATTCTAGAAAAATTATTAAATTTAAAACACAAATATGAAGAACAAAAGGTTCTACAAAAGGATACAAATCAGGCTTTGCTCAGTCTTGGCCTTTATAATAGTAAGTTTTAGAAGACAATGAAGACTTTAAGGAAAGAGTCATGATGCCAGAATGCACATATATGTATATATGTATGTGTGTGTACATATATGTGCACACTTGTGTATGCACATGCACACATATATGAAGACAATATTGCAGTAAGTCATTCTCAAGTTTGTGACATCTCAGATAGTGAATCATCCCAGTATCTTGAGGAAATTTTTAGAAAATATATGCAGATGACCAAGACATATAGGACAAGTAAGACCTCTGGAAGAGGAAGTTGTAGCTAACAGATCAGAGGAATCCTCAAGTACTCACGCTGGGACCTGGAATCAAGAGCGCCAGCTGAAGGCCCACGTGAGGGGGCCAAGCATGGCCCCACAGCACTTCCTTCACCATTGCCTCTTCTGCAGCTCTGGCCTCACTTTCCAGTGCCAGGAAAAGGGCTTGTTGCACCATATCCTTCAACTCTCGGTTCAGAGGAAACCTTCTGCATGTTTAGTGGCCACTTAAAGCAGGAATGAATAGTGTTCTCTTCCAGTCCTTGCTACGTGGGTCACTCTGTTAAGAAACTGAACCAGGAGAATTACTTTAAAAAGGTATTTTCCGGCCGGGCGCGGTGGCTCAAGCCTGTAATCCCAGCACTTTGGGAGGCCGAGGCGGGTGGATCACGAGGTCAAGAGATCGAGACCATCCTGGTCAACATGGTGAAACCCC